TGAGTCTCTATTTATAATACGTGTATACAAATCCTTATTCGAATTATTCTTAATGTTAATATAAATTGAATTATTCAGTTATTCGTTTTATTCGAATTGTTTGTTTAATTCGTTTTATTTGTTTATTTGACTAAACTTTCAATGTAATTCGAATGCTCAAATTCATAGTAATAGTAATAGTGAATAAAACAAATAATTCGAATAAACCTTGTTCGAATGGAAATACTATTACTAAGCTACAACGCCTCCAGAAAACTCGTTCAACTGGGACACTAGTTGCCAATAAGTTTGCTAAATTTGAAATTAAAATTCTAAATAAGCAGAGTGCAAAAATTAGAATACTAAGAGCTTGCAAAATGGTAATTGTTTCTAATCTAAAGCTTTAAAATTTCTCGGTTTGGCTTTTTAGAAACCGAAACCGAACCGTTTGGATCTTATCCAATATATCTTTATTTAAAAGCAGATTAAAATAAAACATCACTTGGAAGTAATTGTGAAATAATAAATTTTCGTCAATTAGTAATAAGCAGGTCTTTAGAAAATTTTACTTGGCATTAAATGGAAAGCTTTCTATATCAATTACCTATTTTTCTATTTTAAAATTTTTTGATTTACTATTACCCATACCCATAATTTCATAGTTCATGTTTATAAAAACATGCAGAGAAGCCCAAATTGCCCAAACTACATATGTAAACTCGATAAGTCGGTCATGTCGGGGCGGACCCCTGTGACCGACTTATTGAGAGAACCGAGTTATCAAATTTCACGTGGTTTTTTAAATTATTTGTCTTTTCACACTAGATAATCAATGATATAAGTGATGATATAAAAATGATGATATAAAAATGATGAGATAAATAAATACAGATGTATTTTTCATGATTAGACAAGAATGTTCATCTAAATTCTTGATGATATAACTGATGAGATAATAATATATTAGTGCATTATTCATGATAAATCATCAAATGATTAAAGCGTAAAAAGTGACAAGAAAAAATGGATGTATGATTATGCATTATAACTGATGGAGATAATAAGATATGCTCTCTTCCTTCTAAATGATAGTTTTTTTACATCAGATATTTTATTACAAATAATCATTTTGCTAATGATGAAATATTATGAATAAAAAATTATTAAATCACATAATGAAATATCACGTGAGACCGACTTATCGTGATTCATTTAATTATTATTATACTTGGGGCTAAAGTGATTGACCGACTTGGTGCTTATCGCGACTTTATATAGATCGACCGATTTATCGAGTTATACTAATTTTTTTCGTGGGAAATTTAATAATTCTTTTATAAGTTATAATTGCATTATTAATGTTAAATATTTCTTTATTAATTAATTATTCTTTGTATTAAATGGCTTACATTGGGCATCTTCACATGTGCTGATTTTTGGATAGGATTTAGGTTAAAATTTTTATTTTAATTCCTTCTCTTTAGAATTCTAATTAATATTCTGTTAGTGTTAATATTGTTTGTCCCTCGTTTTATGTCAACCTCTTCTAATTTATTATTAGTTTTAAGCAAAAGAGCTTATCATTCTAAACATAATGATTTTAATTTCGAATAATTTTAAATTCATTCTACTCTATTTATAAACGTTAATCGTCATGTGCATTTATTTAATATTTAATATCTAATATACATTCATTAGATAAGGATTATGTATAGTTTATAAATAGTGAGTAATGATACATTCATTAATCGATAGGATATTTATTAGAGGCTGGAATCGACTAAAATAGTCGACTATTTTAATCGATTATTTAGTCGACTACTAATACTAATACTATTATTATTATTGTCTGACCAATTACGATTTTGGAAAATTTCTATGCGGAGGAGTATCAATACCATCAATATGATTATGACGACAATAGTAGTGGTGTTGTTGATGATAATTTTACATGCGAATGAATAAACACTTCCAATGCAAGGTCCAATAGTTCATTGGCTTCAAGTTCTAATGATTTAAGCGGTGGTTTCAGAAGACCTTTAAAAAAACGAATTCAAATGGAAATGAAATTTAGTCGACTAAAGAAATTTTTGACCAACTAGTAGTCGACTAAGGATTTTTTGAACGTTTCCAACCTCTAATATTTATGCTGTCACAAACCATAGGTGTATTTTATTAAATTGTAATTATAACAAGAGATTTCACCCTGATGTTTTGCTGAATTATTTACAAATAAAAAAAAAATTGCCAAGAATATGTTTATTTTATTGTCTTGAAAGCAATGTTAGTAACAAGTCTGGATGCCTTGGGATGAAATAAAATAGTCAATGGTAGTAACTGATATCAAACAAACATGCTTTAATCTAAAATTATTATACATGTTAAAAAAAATAATTAAATACTTAGCATTTAGTATTTAAATATTATTATTAATGAATCAAAATTTATTACAAAATTACATATGATCCCATTCTCAATATAAAATTTGGAACACGTCATTAAGAAAACTTCATTCCCGTTGATAATTTCTGGAACATATTTAGTGAATTCTTCAGAAATTGGCCGAATGATTATATACTCCAAATCGAAAAACTCTTCACCTTTTCCTTTTGGTTCACCTGATAT